GAGCCGCGCTCTGCGTGCCCGGGGCTCGCCATGGGGCTGCGGCAGGACGGGGGCAGCCGCGGGGCGCTGCCGCCGGCGGCGGCGGGGCTGCCGCAGTGATGGGCAGCGGCAGCGCCGGGGCTCGGCTGCCGTGTGGTGCCAGCGCGCCCGCCCGGCGGGGCCGCCCGCGAGGAGCCGGCGGCAGGTGAGTGCCGCGCACGGGGACCCGCCCGCGCCGCGCCCGGGGCCGCCCGTTCCCCTCCGTGCCTTGCTCGCCGCCCGTTGGCGTTTTTTCATTTTTTTAAACCTTCTGCGGCTCCCGGCCGAGGGCGGGGGGCGCTGCCCCGGCGGGCTGGGCGCGGAGGTGACACGGGCTGGGCGCTCCTCGCCCCGCGGCTCCGTGGGGGACCACCTTCCCCCCGCCGCAGGGGGACGTTCTGCTCCAGGTATCCTCCTCGCCAGCTCTGATGCCATCCTGCCTACCCTGCCTTCTCGCCAGGTGCGGCCAGCTTTTGCTTCTCGGTATTCCTAATGAAGAGGCTGTTTCCCCCTGCACCCGGCAGAGATGCTGCTTTCCTTTCGAGGGACGAGACCCACCTGGGTTTCTCCTCTCGCTTTTTATCTCCCTGATGGATCATTTCTCCGTGCGGGATAGGGAGACGTTTCAATTTCAGTATGATGTAGCGAGGAAGATGGGGAATCCTGGGTAGTAGCCAAGACTCGGGAGATGCCCCTTCCTCTTTCATCCTCCTCCTCACCCTGACACGGGCATTTGAGTAGTAACACTCCCTTACCGGCTTCTTGGCTGGTCCTTCTCCTTGGACAGAGAAATGGGAACGGGAGGTGTGTGTGTGTGTAAGAGAGGAAACAACTGTTACACCTTTTGTCATCAAGACAAAGAACTTCATCTCCCTGTGTCCCTCCCTCTGGGTGCATATTGGCAGCACCTCAGCCACTTTGCATTGCTTCCCGGAGATGCTTCGTAGGGAGATGCTTCATAAGGATCTGGTGTGGCCCTGACCTGCCCTTTTTTGTTGTTGTTGCCAATTATGATGGTGCTGATAAAAGGACATGTTGATATGTTTCCAAACAGTCTCGTGGTTTGCATTCCTGAAATTGCTGCAGCATTCTTATTTATTTATTTAATTGGAGGGGTGGGGGGCTTGACAACAGGAAGGGGACATGTTTTTGTAGTTTACTGTAGTTGTTTGGAAGGTATGAGGTCACGTGCAATTGTAGCACTGTAGTGTGGATTATATTAACCAGTGCTTTCTCTCTCTGTCTTGTCTTCTAGTCCTGCAGTATTCACTTCATCTACTGTGCGAGGAATGGTGATTCTGTGAGAGAACTGCCTTTTGATTACCTGTCTCCTGCTATTGCTTGCTGCTCCTGACCAGTGATGAGCCATTCAGCTGGACTGGGATTTACCGTGAAGAAGGGAGAGGCAGAATATGAATTGTAGACATCCTATCACGTTCCTCACATACTGTTTTTACTGTGTCTGTATATAAACCTGCTAGTATCAAGCACACACACTCTCTTAAACCTACATAGGTATTCACAGACTTGCTATTGTGTAAGAGGACTGGT